CCTTCAGACGCCCATTAAAAAAGCAGGTTATTCCCTGGTAAGTTACTCACTGGGCTTCCCACAGTTTCCATCTCTCCTTCCCTCACTGAAACATTTTAACTAGTTGATAGAAGTTTTCAATTGACACTATTCCTTTTCTCCAAAGATTCCTAACCACCCCCTGTACACTGGATCAATAGTCTCACTACAGCCCTGAGAAGTTGGGCAGAGCCTACTGGCTCTCACCATGGCTCCTCGGCTGATGGTGGCTGTTGAGTGGTCAGAGCCAAACAAGAACTGCGTGCCTCCAGCTTCCTCGCCTCACTCTCCTTTCCTCTTGCTACCTCTCCGCTGCCCCTTGTGAGTTAGGAACAGCCCAGAACTTCGGGGACTCTGGCACATGCATGCCCATTTCATAGCTTACGTCACCAGAGGCGGAATCCCCAGCTCCTCGCAGTCCTGGAAAGAGACTCAATTGTAACTTCGTTTCCGGGTAAAGACCAAGAGGACTGAGTGTTCTTCACTTAGAACGTGGAATTCTGGCGAGTGGCCCCACCATTGCCCATGGTAGTCAGCCTGAAGGCTGTGAACTTGGTGTTGACCTGTGCTAGGGGCTGAAGGAAGCTGCGCTCCTGCAACTGCTCAGCCACTACCCTTACAGTTGGGCATTCCAGGGGCAAGGTTGGAGTTTTGCATAGATTTAGGATCTATGGAGATTTGTAAGTAACGTCTTGGTTTCCTGGTAGTCCCAGTTCATACCTGCTCTGCTAGGTTAGGTGCCTTGCCTAGTGACTAAGTAGAAAGAGCTGGACGTTTTCCCCTCATCTGTAATTTCTCTTTTTAACGAGGATTCCTGGATGCTCCCACCAGAGGTTCTGATTTGTCAGTCTGAGGCAGTTTTCCAAGTGCTTCTGTGTGGTTATGCCTGTCTGAGAGCCACCAACCCCTTTCTTAGAGATAGAGGACACTGGGGCCTAAGGTCCGTATCAGACAGTCAACCTCCAGCTCTGCAGATGCGGCCAGTAAGTGTTAGGATGGTGCCATAGTGAGGGCTTTGGAGTGAGACAAACCAGGTTTAATTTCTAATTTTGTGATCACCTGTTGCTGTGTGTCCTTGGATGACTGGCTTAACCTTTCTGAGCCCAGCCTCTTCATTTTACAGTCAGTGATAACAGTATCTACCTCTCGGACGGGTTTGAAGGATTAACTGCTTTCATGTGTGCAAACCATTTACATATAACCTACCACACAAAACATGCTTCACGTATGCCAGCTATTACTGGAGTCGTCTTAAGTTTTACCAGGAAAGATAAATAAGCGCCAAACAGCTTTAAACAAGCATTACTGACGGCTGCACCTGCGATTCTCCAACACCATATTCTTTAGCCGGTCAGTGAATTCATTTGTTCATTAAATATAGTATGATGAAACGGATATTTATTTTGCCTGGGTATGTTTATAATGTGCCAGGCACAGAGAGATATGGAAGACCTGGCCACTGCTCCAAGGGAGAAAAGCTGGATTTTGAACATAGGTCAAATCAAGTCCAAAACCTTTCATTGCTTTCATTTCACTTTCACTTAGAAATCCTTACAGTCTAGGGCCGGGCGTGGTGGCTCACACCTGTAATCCCAGCACTTTGGGAGGATCACCTGAGGTCAGGAGTTCAAGGCCAGCCTGGCCAACAGTGAAACCCCAACATAGTGGAAAAAAAAATTAAATTAAAAAAAATTTTTTTAAAAGAGAAATTCTTACAGTCTAAAGGTAGAAAAGGCAAAGAGTGACCCATTTAAAAAGAAAGAAAAGGCTGGGCATGGTGGTTCAAGCCTGTAATCCCCACACTTTGGGAGGCTGAGGCAGGCAGATCACCTGAGGTCAGGAGTTCGAGACCAGCCTGGCCAACATGGCGAAACCCCATCGCTACTAAAAATACAAAAATTAGCCAGGCATGGTGGTGCATGCCTGTGATTCCAGCGACTCAGGAGGCTGAGGGAGGAGAATCACTTGAACCCAGGAGGCAGAGTTTGCAGTGAGCTAAGATTGCACCACTGCACTCCAGCCTGGGGACAGAGTGAGACTCTATCTCAAAAGGAAAAAAAAAAAAGTGACCCATCAGAGATCTCACTTGTTACCCAGTTCCCCCACTTACCATCAAGGTAGTGTCTGTTGAAATCCCCAGTTGGATTTTTTTTTAACAAGTCAATACTTTAGACCAAGGGACAGGATATGGGGACATAAAAGGACATATCAGAAGTAGAATTCATGTCCCCAGGCACCAGCAGAGAGCTCTCTGTGGCTGGCAGAGCACACAGTGGGGCTTCACTCGTTTGTCCACACCTTCCCTTTGCCCTCTCACCTTGATTCATAGCCTTTGTTGGATACCTGGGCTCTGGACCGTTTCAGCTCTACTGTCATTCCTTCTCAGTGGCCAAGCCACCTGACACATCCACATGGGATCTTCTAGCCCGCTGGTATTAATAGCATCTTTGATTCAGGCTCACGCTGTCCAGGCTGAACTAGCCCCTATAAACCTGTTCAGAAAACTTGCTTATCAGTCTAAATTAAAATCAGGTTCTCTTCCTTGGGTGCCAGTAGGTCACCAAAAATGTCCCGAGTATCTGAGGAGTAGTGAAGAAACCACAGTTGATTGTTGCCTGGCCAGGGCTGACCAAGATAGACAAGAAGTCCCTCCAAGAGCCCTGTTTTCACTCCAGCCTCATGCCAAACTGCTCAACTTCCTTTGCTGCTGGAAGTGGTTGAAGGACTCAGTGGGCGGTAACCCCATGCAATTAGAACATCCTACCCCCAAAGAACCCTTAAACAGAGGAAGTCCTCTCCCACAAGTGTGCTTTTGCTGTCACTACACAAGACCTGGGACTGAAGACTGCTGTCTGCCTCTCTTTGGTCACCCTGCCTACCTTGAGGATCTGTAAGTAATGAAAACTCTGAAACGTTCACAGTGTGGCTTTGGTGGTCTCAGCCAGCCCTGAGGGGGAGATCACCCCAGAGGTACTCATGCAGCTCGGTGCCTTGCTGGTGTTCTTTTGGAGCATCTGGGCACAGTAGCTAAGTTAATGGAGAAACCCAAAGAGTTCTGGGCAAAACACCAAGATATAACCCTTCTAAGGGCTATCATGGAATGGGCCATTCTGAAGGGAGAATTGGAGGAAATGACAAAGCTTAATAAGGAACTGAGATGTCTCAGTCTGGCAGCTGTACCATCATTTCACCTGTTTCTTTCTCCCAGTTCTGGTCATGACAGAACTGTAAGGTCATGTCTATGATGTCACAGGCACTGATGAGCTCTCATCCCTGGATTCTTCCCTTTCCAGTCTGAGACTGTCTCTTCATTTCTTGGAGTCACTGGGTTCCTCTATAAGGTCTTATGGTCCGAATGGTCCTGAGTATGAGATCTGCCTCTTCTTTTGGGAAAATCCCTGAGGAAGGGGGCTTCACTGGTTCTAAAAGGAGCTTGGAAACTCCCCACATAGTCCCAGAGAAAAAAACCCTATCACTGACACCTTACCTCACCCCTTCAGAAATCCCTGTATGGGCTCAGGGAGCAGAGGTGTGAGAACAGAGATTTCCTAAAAGCCAGAGCTAAACACTTGAACGTGGAGTGGGGCAGTGCTCAAGTGTTTCAACAGCTGAGCAGAACAGAATTACAAGAGCAGTCAGGCATACACATGGCCGAGAACACATGAAAAAATGCTCATCACGAATCATTAGAGAAATGCAAATCAAAACCCCAATGAGATACCATCTCACACCAGTCAGAGTGGCTATTACTAAATGTCAAAAAATAACAGATGCTGGCAGGGTTGCAGAGAAAAGGGAATGCTTATACACTGCTGGTGGGAATGTAAAGTAGTTCAGTCAATGTGGAAATCAGTTTGGAGATTTCTCAAAGAACTTAGAGCTACCATTGGACCCAGCAATCCCATTACTGAACATACAGCCAAAGGAAGAATCGTTCTACCAAAAAGACACATGCACACGTATGGTCATCGCAGTACTATTCACAATAGCAAAGACATGGAATCAATCTAGATGCCCATCAATGGTGAATTAAAGAGAATGTGGTACATATACACCATAGGATAGTACGCAGCCATAAAAAAGAAATTACTGCCGAGCGCGGTGGCTCACGCCCATAATCCCAGCACTTTGGGAGGCCAAGGCAGGTGGATCACGAGGTCAAGAGATCGAGACCATCCTGGTCAACATGGTGAAACACCGTCTCTACTAAAAATACAAAAATTAGCTGGCCATGGTGGTGCATACCTGTAGTCCCAGCTAGTTGGGAGGCTGAGGCAGGAGACTTGCTTGAACCCAGGAGGGGGAGGTTGCGGTGAGCCAAGATCGCGCCATTGCACTCCAGCCTGGGTAACAAGAGCGAAACTCCATCTCAAAAAAAAAAAAAAAAATTAAATTACGTCCTTTGCAGCAACATGGATGGAGCTGGAGGCCATTATTTTAAGCAAATTAACACAGGAACAGAAACCCAAATACCATGTGTTTTCACTTATAATCCGGAGCTTACAAACACACATGGATACAAAGAGGGGAACAACAGACACTGGGGCTTACTAGAGGGTAGAGAGTGGGAGGATGGTAAGGACTGAAAACTACCTATTGGGTACTATGCTTATTACCTGTGTGACTAAATAATCTGTACACCAAACCCCTTTGACATGCAATTTACCCATGTAACAAACCTGCACATTTACCCCCAAAACTAAGAGTTGGAAGGGGGGGGGTAAAAAAAAAGTAATCAAGGTCCCAGCACCACAGCTGCCAGGGACACAGAGCATATCAGGGTCCTGTTGGCTCAGAGCAGTGCAGGATGGTCTGTGGCCACCCCCACTCCAGATCCACAGCTCTGCCACACTGTGCAGCGTAGTTCCCAGTCCCTAGCTGGTTTCACTTTGGCACTGTCTTGAGCAGAAAGCCAATTGTATTAATCTGTTTCAGGGAGAGGTGTGACTCAGACACTGAGGACTTAACTAAAACTCCCATACCTTGCTGGGCATTGCAATTCCTCCATCACAGAGCAGTCCTTTCAAGAACCAAGAGATTCTCTCATCTTTTTTTTTTTTTTTTTTTTTGAGACTGAGTTTTGCTGTTGTTGCCCAGGCTGGAGTGCAATGGCACAGTCTTGGCTCACTGCAACCTCCACCTCCTGGATCCAAGTGATTCTTCTGCCTCAGCCTCCTGAGTAGCTGGGATTACAAGAGCCTGCAGTGATGCCCGGCTAATTTTGTGTTTTAAGTAGAGATGGAGTTTCCTCCATGTTGGTCAGGCTGGTCTCGAACTCCCGACTTCAGGTGATTTGCCTGCCTTGGCCTCCCAAAGTGCTGGGATTACAGGTGTGAGGCACCAGGCCCAGCCAAGAACCAGGGGATTCTCATTCGGAGCAGGACCAGGTGAACATGACCTGCAGAGGAGAAAGGGTGCATTTTATAGGAGACAGATCTGCCGTCCTTGATACTGGGGAAGCAAGGGTCTAACGAACATCTGGTGACTGGCGATGGCATTCAGCTTTGCTCTCCATCCACCCTCCTTCCTGCAAAGAAGAAATTCTGATCTCTTAGGGAAGCTGGAATGGACACCAATCAGGGAAATAAATAAGTGCTTAAGCAGCAGCAGCAGCAAAATCAAGTTTCTACACCTTGCTATGCTGTCTGTCTGCTCACCCAGACCCTCTACAACCTGATCTCCGTTTCTATTTACATACTCCCCTTCTCACCCATTGCCTTGGTCTCCCAGGTTCTAACTCCAAATCCAGCCCCAAAGTCATTTCCTTCTCACTTCTTCCTGGATCATGCTCCCTCACTCAGGCTTAACTTCCTGTGAAGAATAGTCAGGAATTGTTTCAGTTTCAGGATCTTCTCCTTCAGTGCAGCTTCCAGAGCTGACTGAAGGCCTTGTGAGGCCCAGACACTCATTGATAATTAGGATCTGAAGGGCTGGTGAGGGATCTTAAAGTTTCCAACTTCTCTGAGACGTCAGATTTTGCCAGGAGCCAGCCGGGAGGAGTGGTGAGGAATTCAACTACATCTGAGACTGATCTGTGTCTCAAAATTCAGTTCCTACAACTCCTACTAGGTCTAATAAAAACTCTACTCTGGAAACAGAAAGAGGTCAGTGTGAGTTCATTTCTACTTCACTTTCTTAACTCTAGGAAAGAAGATATTTATTTCTCATCCCATTCAATTCAACATATGAGACACAATGTTAACTAGTGGAAATAATACAGATTTTTTCCTTCAGGTGAATCTAGCTTGAGTCCAAGCTCAACTCCATACTAAGTAATTTGTGGCAAATTATTTAACTCCTGTGATCCTCTTTTGATCATCTGAGGATAGTAACACCCACCTTGCAGGGCTGGGTGTGGTGGCTCATCCCTGTAATCCCAGTACTCTGGAAGGCCAAGGAGGGCGGATCACTTGAGGTCAGGAGTTCAAGACCAGCCTGGCTAACATGGTGAAACTCCCATCTCTACTAAAAATACAAAAAAAAAAAAAGATTAGCTGAGTGTGGTGGCGGGTGCCTGTAATCCCAGCTACTCGGGAGAATGAGGCAGGAGAATCGCTTGAACTCCAGAGGTGGAGGTTGCAGTGAGCCAAGATCACACCACTGTAGTTTAGCCTGGGCGACAAAGCGAGTCTCTCTCTCAAAAAATAAATAATACCCACCTTGCAGGATACAGGAAAAGAGTATACATGCTATGAGTAAAGTATCTAGTCCAGTGCTTGGCACTCAGAAGGCTGTGAGTAAAAGGATGTGGTGGCAGTAAGGGAAACTCCATCTTGCAGGAACTTCATAGCATATATTACTACTTGACATAGAAGTTTAATGTCTGTCACCCCCTGCCAGATTGTAAGATATTTTTCAGCTCAACGCTGAATCCTAGCACCTTGAATAGTGATTTGTGCTAAATATATTTATTTGCCAGGTATGAATGAATGGGTGAAAAAATAAGAGGAAGACTGGGCTCATCAGACCTAACCAACTGAGCATCACTTAAGCATTATAAAGAACACAAAACGAGACAAAACCGGTCTTTGGCTGAGATGTCTCCCACATCTGCTCCCTCTCCGTTTCTGCTACCATTCTAGGGCAGGGTTTCAGAACCTCAGCACACTGACGTTTTGAGTCAGATCGTTTTTTGAGTTCTTGGGGTTTTGAGTCAGATCGTTTTTTGAGTTCTTGGGGTTGGGGACGGGCGGGAACCTTGTGGACGTTGCGGAATGTTTAGCTGCATCCCTGGCCTCCACCCACTAGATGTCAGTGGTACCCCTCAGTTGTGACAACAAAATTGTCAATTGTGCTGTGGGTCGGGCGCTGGTTGAGAACCCCTGGCCTAGGAACATATTAGTGCCTTTGTTCACCAAAATTTTCCCTCCTTAAGTCCCCAAGACCTAATTCATCCTTTCCATAGACCACGAACACGAGGGACAGCTGGACTCCATCTCTACCAACCAGGTAAGGGCACCTGAGCATACATATCGGAAATGTAGAAGAAAAAGTTCACGTTCTCAAGGAGTGCACCATCAAAGACAAGACCAATGTCTTGGATAATGACTGATGACACCAATACCCCCATCTTCTTGAAGCGTCCTGATCCTCTGAACTCTGTGGTACTGTCTGTAACGTCTCTCAGCGTGCTCCATCTTAACCCGCTAACAGAATTTGTTTCCGTTGGGTTTATCCACTTCACCAGTTTGGGGGCTCGCTGAGGGTAAACAGCGTGTCTGTGCTGTCTTCGTGTCCCCACCGCTCGGTACAAGGGCGCAATGGGGCTTTAGGTTTCCTTAGCCCCTAAGGAGTGTTTCCGTAGCATAAAGGGCAAGAGGCAACGAGCCCTTCAAAGGCGGCCTCACGGGGGAACCTGAATGGACTGAAACCTCCGAAGAGCAATAAAGCCGGCACTCCGGCCTGTCTCGATCCCAGGCGTCCCCTGAGGACTCAGTTCACTCTGAATCACGCAATCACTGCGACTTTGTGCGTCAAAGAACCCAGGGTGCAATCAGAGCCGCAGGACAGACAGCGGAGACCCAAGCGTTGAGCCCCGCCTCATGAGAAAAGATAAGCGACTAGCTAGGCACGCCATCTTTTCTACTACGTCACGCCGGGACCACAAGAGGGCCAGACGCATGCGCAATAGCTAATCCGAGAGATGCGAGTCGCTCAAGTGCGGCACTAAAGGACCATCCTCTCCACCTGGTTTCCGCCCTTCGCTAATTGACAGCACTTTCGTCCATGAATCCTGCCTTGCGTTATATGCTGGGACCAATCACAATGCCTGAGAACCCGGGGCCCGGCTCTAGATGGGCACGCCTTCCTGTTTTACGCGTTAAGTGAGGACTTCCCTGATAGAAAACGTGGCGTTCATAGCGGGCAATGCCTAATTGTAAACATTTATACAGTAACTCATACAGCAACTCTACCAAGTCAATTCTATTACCATTTTTATCTTCCAGATGAGGAAGCCAAAACATAGTTTAAGTGACTCTCTAAAGACAGAAGTGGGACTACAAATCGTTTCAAAACCAGTGGATTTTTTCCCCCAATATATATTGTTTTTCTTAATACTAAGTAAGTACTGCAAAAACGTTCTCACTTGAAACTGAAGCCTTGGCCGGGAGCGGTGGCTCACGCCTGTAATCGAAGCACTTTGGAGGCCAAGGCGGGCGGATCACCTAAGGTCGGGAGTTCAATACCAGCCTGACCAACATGGTGAAACCCCGTCTTAAAAATAAATAAATAAATTGATTAATTAATTAAATAAAATAAAACTGAAGTCTCCACGCTTGTAATCCCAGCACTTTGGAAGGCCGAGGCGGGGGGAATCACTTGAGTCCAGGAATTTGATGCTGCAATGAGAGGTACTTGCCACTGCACTCCAGCCTGGGCGGCAGAGTGAGATCGTCTCAAAATAAATAAATAATAAATCCCAATGAATTAAAAAAAAATTATCTTCATACCTTGCCTCTGAAACTACTCTCCCTCCCTAGACAAAATAACTGGTACTGAGGCAGAGGAGTGTGGAGGCAGGGAACCTAAGGCCATTCACGCTGACTTCCTAGAACTAAATCGAAAGGAAAACCCCAACTTTCCTCACCTAAGTAAGGAAAAAACCCACCAAAAGGACTGGAGACTACTCCCTTTACAAACCCCCAACCTTTTCTGCGTGGCAGATGAAAAATTTAAGTGTCTTTGATTAGTTGCTTTCTACACCCGATCAGAAGTTTGCATAGCAGTGTAACTTTGTAATTCACTTTGGCCTCTGATTGGTTGATTCCCACAACCAATCAAATGCTTGCATAGGGTGTAACCTTTGTGACTTCACTTCAGCCTCTGAGTGTGGGGCACTACTTCATTTACATAGGGTATACACCAAGTGACCTATAGGAAACCTCTGGAGGGTGTTTAAACACCAGAAAAATTCTGGCACATGGCTCTTGAGCCCCTGTGCTCTAATGGCTGCCACCTTGTGGAGTGTACTTTCGTTTTCAATATATCTCTGCTTTTGTTGCTTTTTTTCTTGCTTTGTTTGCACGTTTTGTCGAATTCTTTGTTCAAAACACCAAGAACCGGGACACTCTCCACTGGTAACATTACCAGCACGTATATCTTTCTGGTTCTTAATATATACTCTTTCTCCATTTACTACATCTTGATTTTTTTCCCATATATATATATCCTGCATTTAGGCATTCACCACAATATATATTCTATTTAAAATGTTTTTCCATGCGCCTCTGCCCCCCCACCATATGTATGTATTCAACCATTCCCCTTTTAATGGACATTCAAATACTTTTCTAATTTTCACGTGTGTGTGATTCTGGATGGGGTATTCTGGATATATTTTGAAGAGGGAGATTGAAATTGTGGAGTGTGAGATGTGGAGTGTGAGAGAAAGAACAGTGGAGGGGCCGGGCCCGGTGGCTCAAGCCTGTAATCCCAGCACTTTGGGAGGCCGAGGCAGGTGGATCACAAGGTCAAGAGATCGATACCATCCTGGTCAACAAGGTGAAACCCCATCTCTACTAAAAATACAAAAAAAAAAAAAAAAAATTAGCTGGGCATGGTGGTGCATGCCTGTAATCACAGCTACTAAGGAGGCTGAGGCAGGAGAATTGCCTGAACCCAGGAGGCGGAGGTTGCAGTGAGCCGAGATTGTACCATTGCACTCCAGCCTGGGTAACAAGAGCGAAACTCCATCTCAAAAAACAAAAAAAGAACAGTGGAGGATAATACTAAGGCTTCTATGTAGTCCTTCTGCCTTCAATCTTGCCTCTCTTCATTCATTCATCATTTATGACGGCCCCGGTAGCACCAAGTAGTAGCGCATCAGGATATAAATACAAGGCATGGGATGTGAAATAGGCTGATGACACTTCTCAGAAAAGTATGCCATGAAATATAACCACTGAGGAGTTTTCTAAACACATGCATTTCTGACACAGATTATCTATTTTGATTCCTACAATGTTCCTGCCACTTATTATAGTCATTTCACAGACGATTAGACAGGGTGTTATAAAGAGCCACTGACTACCCTAACTAATTAGTTGCAAAGTGCACCCAAATACTCAAGCTCTTGAATCCTAGTGCACTTTCTGAAGCACCTTGCTGCCTTCACTATTCAGAGAGCAGAGTAGTAGATGACCAAATGGACAGAAAAGAGAGACAGAAAGAGCAAACAGAGCCTGAGTGTGGGGAAAGGCAAGGGCAGAGCAGTGCTTTAGTCACATGTATCCTGAGCCACCTAGGTGCACCTTCAGTGTATCTTTAAGGGCCTTGTTTCTTAACATCCAAATGTGAGGGGGAAGTATTGGTGTGACTTTGTTAACAAGATAGGAAAAAGAGCTTGGTCGGATCGAGGAAGTAGCTGTTCTTAGGCTAGATTTGGTTAGAGGTGATGGTCCCAAATGAAAAGGCACTACCACAGTCAACAAAGTAACAGCAAACCAAATTCAACAGCACATTTAAGAGGTCATTCACCATGATCAAGTGGGATTCAACCCAGAGATGCAAGGATGTTTCAACATATACAAATCAATAAACATGATATCACATTAACAGAATGAAACACAAAAACTTTTGAAATGCATATAACCATTTCAATAAATGCAGAAAATACATTTGACAAATTCATCATTGCTGCATGATAAAAACTCTCTTCAAATTAGGTATATGTACCTCATACAATAATATATGTGACAAACTCATAGCTACATCCTGCTAAACAAGGAAAAGCTGAGAGCTTTTCCTCCAAGATCTGGAACAATACGAGGATGCCCACTTTCACCAGTTCTACCCAACATAATACTGGAAGTTCTAGCCAGAGAAATTGGGCAAAGGAAAGAAATAAAAGTCAACCACACTGGAAAGGAAGAAGTTAAATTGTCCCTGTTTACAAATGACATTATGCTATAAATGTCAGACACTACCAAAAACTGTTAGAATTAAGTGAATTCAGAAAAGTTGCAGATACAAAATTGACATACAAAAATTAGTAGCTATTGAGACACAGTGGCTCATTCCTGTAACCCCAGCACTTTGGGAGGCTGAGGTAGGAGGCCAGGAGTTTCAGACCACCCTGGACAAGTTAGTGAGATCTCATCCTTACAAAAAAAAAAAAAATTGAAAACAGCTAGGTATAGGCCAGGTTCAGTGGCTCACGCCTGTTAATCCCAGCAGTTTGGGAGGCTGAGGCAGGAGGATCGGATCCCCTGAGGTCAGGAGTTCAAGACCTCAAAATTAACTGGGTGTGGTGGTGCACATCTGTAATCCCAGCTACTCTGGAGGGTAAGACAGGAGAATTGCTTCAACGTGGGAGACAGAGGTTGCAGTCAGCCGAAATTGTGCCACTGCACCCCAGCCTGGGTGACAAAGTGAGACTCCATCTCAAAAAAAAAAACAAACCAGGTGTAGTGGCATGCATGCTTGTAGTTCCAGAAACTCAGAAGGCTGAAGTGGGAGGATTGCTTGAGCCTAGGAAGTTGAGGCTACAGTGAGCTGTGATCACACCACGGCAGTCCAACCTGGGTAACGGAGTGAGACCTTTTCTAAAAAAAAAAAAAAAATTAATCAGGAGTGGTGGCACACATCTGCAGTCCTAGCTACTTGAGAGGCCGAGGCAGGAGGATCTCTTGAGCACAGGAATTCGAGGCTGCAGTGAGCTATGGTCATACCGCTATACTCTGGCCTGGACAACAGAGCAAGACCCTGTCTTCAAAAAAGGAAAATAAAACTGCTTTTAAAAATGTGTATTAGCCGGGTGTGGTGGCTCACGCCTGTAAGCCCAGCACTTTGGGAGGCCGAGGTGGGTGGATCATGAGGTCAGGAGACTGAGATCATCCTGGCCATGGTGAAACCCTTTCTCTACTAAAACACACAAAATTAACTGGGCCTGGAGGCGCGTGCCCATAGTACCAGCTACTCAGGAGGCTGAGGCAGGGGAATCGCTTGAATCCGGGAGACAGAGGTTGCAGTGAGCTGAGATTGTGCCACTGCACTCCAGCCTGGCAAAAGAGCAAGACTCCGTCTCAAAAAAAAAAAAAAAAAAAAAAAAAGTGTATTAATCATATACCTAGTAGAATATAACCAAAGGACAAAAATAACTGTTTTAAAAAAGTCATTTATGTTTACATATATATGTATAGATAACATGTCAAAAATAACTATTTAAAAAGTTATTGTCAAGAAAGTAAAAAGCAGTAAAATTAAAAATAAAAAAACGCAGTCATTTAGCTAATTAGTTGCAGAGTACACCTAAATACTCAAGCTCTTGACTCTGTGCATTGAACTTTCTGAGGCACTTTGCTGCCTTTCTGCTCAGAGAACAGGGTAGTAGATGACTAAATGGACAGAAAATAGAGAGACAAAGAGAAAGCAGAGCCTGAGTGTAGGGAAAAGCAAGGGCAGAGCAGTGTTTTGGCATGTCAGATATATGTATATACGTGTATATACACACAGATTTCTCTTTCTCTCTGCGGCCTGGGGGTTGGAGACCTTTGTTATAAATCATTGAATTAAACAGAAAACCTTAATTGCACAAGATAGAAACAAATAAATGAATAAATTGAGTTTAATTAGTAGCAGGATATTTACATAGTTTCAAAGTACTTCTTTTTTGGTTTTTTTTTTGAGACAGAGTCTCGCTCCATCACCCAGGCTGGAGTGCAGTGGCGCAATCTCGGCTCACTGCAACCTCTGCCTCCGGGATTCAAGTGATTCGCCTGCCTCAGCCCCCTGAGTAGCTGGGATTACAGTTGCACACCACCACACACGGCTAATTTTTATATTTTTACTATAGATGGGGTTTCGCCATGTTGGTCAGGCTAGTCTTGAACTCCTGACCTCGTCGTGATCCACCTGCCTTGGCCTCCCAAAGTGCTGGGATTACAGGTGTGAGGCACCGCATCCAGCCAAGACACTTACTGATTACAAAGAGGAAAACAATGGAAAAGACTGGTCAGCACAACCTTCGTTCCAAGTGACATCATTAGATGTGATCCAAGTGACATCATTAGAAATGTAAAAAACTGGCCGGGCGCGGTGGCTCACACCTGTAATCTCAGCACTTTGGGAAGCTGAGACGGGAGGATCACGAGGTCAAGAGATCGAGACTATCCTGGCCAACATGGTGAAACCCCATCTCTACCTAAAAATACAAAAATTAGCTGGGTGTGGTGGCATGCACCTGTAGTCCCAGCTACTCGGGAGGCAGGAGAATTGCTTGAACCCGGGAAGCAGAGGTTGTAATGAGCTGAGATCGTGCCACTACACTCCAGCTTGGCGCCTGGTGACAGAGTGAGACTCTGTCTCAAAAAAAAAAAAAAAAATGTAAAAAACTGAAATATACACTCCCTGATAGGACACAATGAGAAGAATGCAACCTTGCATCTGTGATACTCCTGCCAAAGATGCTAACCTGAATCTGTGTGTGAAGAAACATCTAACCCAAATGGAGACATGTTCTACCAAATAACTGGCTACCAATCTTTTATCGTGTGAGAATCATGAGACAAGACCAGACTGAAGAACCATCTCAGACTGACAAAGACTAGACACATGACAACTAAATGCAATGTGTGATTAGGAAGAGAACTGTTTTGCTATGAAAGGCATTGTTGGGACAGTTGGCAAACACTGAATGGGGTCTGTAATTAGATAATTTAATGTATTAATGTTCATTTTTTTAATTTACTTGTTGAGACAGAGTCTCCCTCCGTCACCCAGGCTGGAGTGCAGTGGCATGATCTCAGCTCACTGCAGCCTCTGCCTTTTGGGTTCAAGTGATTCTCTTGCTTCAGCTTCCCAGGTAGCTGAGATTCCAGGCATGTGCCACCATGCCCAGCTAATTTTTGTAGTTTTAGGAGAGATGGGGTTTCACCATGTTGGCTAGGCTGGTCTTGAACTTCTGACCTCAGGTGATAGGCCCCCTCAGCATCCCCAAGTGCTGGGATTACAGGCAGGAGCAACCACACCTGGCCAGTCTTGGCTCTTTAATGCAATTAAGAGAAACTGACTTTGGGTTAAGTGTGGTAGCTCACTCCTATAATCCCAACACTTTGGGAGGCCAAGGTGGGAGGATCACTTGAGTGTAGGAGTTTGAGACCAGCTAAGCAACGTAGTGAGGCTCTGTCTCTGTGAAAAATTAAAAATTGGCCAGGCATGGTGGCATGCACCTGTGGTCCCAGGTACTTGGGAGGCCAAAGGAGGAGGATCGATTGGCCTAGGAGTTCAAGGCTGCAGTGAGCCATAATTATGCCACTGCAGTCCAGCCTGGGTGACAGAGAATTCTTGTCTCAAAAAAAACAAAAACAAAAACTGACTTTGGTTAACATAAGTAAAAAGGAAGTATGTTTGGCAAGATATCTAATGGCTCACTGAATCTGAAAGAAGTATAAATTCAAAACTATGCTGAGTCAAAGGCAACCAGGAAGTAGGAACCACTGCCAAAGTCACAGGAGCAAGCTGCTCTCAATGGTATTGTTTTCTGAACACTGACAGTGTCCCTGCAATTGAGACAGGAAATGTTGGTGACTGCTGTTCCTGTTGTAGGGAATGCGGGAAGGCAATAGGGAGCCTTAGAGAGTTAGAGCTCTGGGGGGTGATGTGACCCAAGGTGTTTAAGCAAAAATGTTGAGGGCTCTGTAGAAGGAAAACAGCTACATCACCACATTGTGCCATTAACCACGCAGCAAATGCAGAAAGGGAAACCACAACAGGCTGGAGAGAGGAAGAGCGTGAGTTCAGTAGCAACCACACTGGAAGACCACCGGCAGAGGTATCCAGAGGGAAGTTACAGGTTTGGACCTGGAACTTGAGAAAGAAATCAGGGTCATCAGAATATGAGCTAGAGTGAAACAGAGTTGTGACTGACATAATATGATTATCATAAACAAGTACTTAAACTACACAAGGCATACCACGTGCTTTATAGACATTTACTCATGTGACATAGCTGAATGAGGTGCATGCTATCGTTCCCATCTTACAGAAGAAGACAGATTCAGCATTTTAGGAACTCAGCTCGTTAGTGGTGGTGAAGCTCCTTCACATTTGCATGGGGAGATCTGCACAAACATCTTTGCATCATTACCAAGAAAAAATTGGAAACAAATATATAAGAAGTAAATAAATTGAGGCATATGCCAACTGTGCCGTCAATCAAAATAATGACCTGATTTGTAGGTACCAATATGAATAAATCTCAAAAGGTAACAAACAGGTCAGGTGTGATGGCTCAAGCCTGTAATCTCAGCACTTTGGAAGGCTGAGATGGGTGAATCTCTTGAGTCAGGAGTTCAAGACCAGCCTGGCCAATATGGTAAAACTCCGTCTGTACTAAAAATACCAAAATTAGCCAGGCATGGTGGCAAGTGCCTGTAGTCCCAACTACTCGGGAGGCTGAGGTGGGAGGATCGCTTGAGCCCAGGAGCTCTGGGCTGTAGTGCACTATGCCGATCAGGTGTATACTAAGTTCAGCATCAATATGGTGACCTCCAGGGAGCGGGGGACTACCAGGTCGCCTAAGGAGGGGCCCAGGTTGGAAACGGAGCAGGTCAAAACTCCCATGCTGATCAGTAGTGGGATCATGCCTGTAAATAGCCACTGTACTCCGGCCTGGGCAACACAGTGAGACTCCATCTCTGAAAAAAAATTAGCCAGTCATGGTGGTGTGTGCCTGTAGTCCCAGCTACTCAGGAGGCTGAGGCCTGAGAACTGCTTGAACCCAGGAGGCGGAGGTTGCAGCAAATTGAGACTGTGCCATCGAACTCCAGCCTGGGTGACAGAGTGAGACCGTATCTCAAAACAAAAAACAAAACAAACACACACAAAAAAAACAAAAACAAAAAACCACACATAAAACAAAAAGCAACTTGCAGAACATTATACACAGTATACCAGTTACATAAAAATTGTAAAATAATACTGTTATTTAACAATGAAGATACAGTTGACCCTTGAACAACATGAGTTTGAATGACTTGAGTCCTCTATACATGGACGTTCTTCTCCCTCTGCTGCTATTGAGACAGCAAAACCAACCCCTCCTCATCCTTCATCCTTCTCCTTCTCAGCCTACTTAACGTGATGCCAATGAGGATGAAGACTTTTATGATGATCCACTTCCACTTAATGAAGAGTAAATATATTTTCTTTTTTCAATAACATTTTCTTTTCTCTAGCTTACGTTATTATTAGAACACCACATATACTACATATAACATATGAAATATGTGCTAATCAACTGTTTATGTTATAGGTGAGGACTCCAGTCGACAGTGGGCTATTAATAAATTTTTAGGGACTCGGAAGTTACACTCAAAGTTTCAGCTGCACAGGGAGTGGGAAGTTGGTTCATTTAACCCCTATGTTGTTCAAGGGTCAGCTGGATAGACAGCTTTGAGCATATACAAGATATACATTTACATGTGTATGTTTACATGTTAGAACTTAAGACAGACTAAATGCGTATCAATGTATGTTCATGGCAACAGCTGCTGAATAATATTTCCCTGCATGAGGATTCTGCGTTTTATTTCTCCATTCATCA